TCATAGGCCATCTCTTGAAGTTGGGAGGCTATGGAAGACAAAGAAACATGCTACAGTTTCCAGGTATTTTGCCAAGGTTGAATACACGGCTTTGGGCTCTTCTGTCTTAGAAATAGTGTGGATAGTTGGCTTACTCAAAGATTTTGGGGTCAAACATTTAGAACCAGTTGATATCCATTGTGATAGTAGAGCAGCTATGCATATTGCAACAAGCTCAATATTTCACGAATGTGCGAAACACATTGAAATTGATTATCATTTCATGAGTGAGAAACTCCAACAATGGCTAATCAATCTGTAGCATATCCATTCTTCTAGACAAGAAGCTGACATTCTCACTAAGTCTGTAGGAGTAGAAACTTTGAACAGGATGTTATCCAAGTTGGATGCTGTTGGTATCTTTCACCCTCCAACTTGAGGGGGAGTATTGAGAGTGTGTCGTGTATTATGAGTACTGGGCCTGTAAGGCCGCGGCCCATTTGGGGTGTTTTGATATGGTTTGTTACCTGTGCATAATACAAATATTTGGGCCCCAGTCATTGCGCATCGGACCTGTTATTCAATTCACTAATTATACTTTTTTCTGGGCCAGTATTGTAGGTTCTATCACTAATAAAATTAATTACACTCCTCTTCAAATTCAAATTTAAAGATTATAGATAAAATCGGAGTGAATACTAAGAACATAAAACAAAACTAGTTGAACAGGTGTTAAGTTAATGTTTCAATCGAGTTGGCGATACTTATGAAAATAATATTTTACATTTCGTTTTCTTTTTCCCTAGCGTTTGCATTTCGTTTTATTACTTCACACGACTGATGCATACTGCATGGCTCTAGTCTCTCGATTTTGTATTTTGGTCGAGTCCTCTCTATCTTTACTCTTTAGGGACATTTTCGAGAATTCATAACGGTGTGGCCTTCCCAGTACATTCCCACAAAATTTAATGGATCCAAAACTATTTGGAATGACTAGAAACAGTTTTTTAACTGTGGTTTACAGAATGTGAGATAAATATGTTAAAAAAGTTTTATTTCATTTACGTAAAACATGTTGATAAGTGCTTTTATATATAAGTGATATCAAATGAGTATAGAATCAACTAGGTAGCCACTTTTTTTTCAATAGGAGAGAGGTCTCTCTATTTTCTTTTCTCTCCATTTTCATCCATTTCTCATATCAATCATTTCTAAAATTATAATTTGATCGGTTCAGATTTTATATTTTATAAAATTATGAAAAAATAAAATTAAAATATTAAATTTATGCCAAGATCATTTAAAATAATAATAATAATATTTTATATAATATAAAATCTAAATTATTCAAATCAGAATTTTAATGGTTGAAATAAGAAGCGAACAAAAAGAGAAGAAAAAGTCCCTCTTTCACCTACTCTAAAGACGAAACCACTGCCCAATTAATATCTCCTCCCACATGGAATCTTGGCCTCTCGTATTTCTTTCAATTGTTAATTGTTAAAGAGATATTAATGCGATGGTTTTGTCATTTTTCCTTCACAGCGACCAAAAACAACGCATCCACATGGACAGGCGGAAAGAGACTCACCTCTCCTGCGGAACTGTATGGATATACTCCCTCTTATTGATATTGATAATACAAAAAAAAAAGTTGGTTAAGTTTTTTCACAAAATAAAAAAGGTAGTAAAGTGATTAATATAATTTAAAATAATAAATTTTTTTCTATTTTGGATGAAGTCCATTTGATATGTAATTGGATAAATTTATATAACGGAAAATTTACGAATCTTAAGCTGCCCGCTTGATATGTTTTCTCTACTTATTCTTTTAATTCCTTGCTAATTGATGATGTCGAGTCAATACTGCTGTTGACTGCCGACGCAAGTGGGACCTCTGGAAGGCTCCACGCATCTTTCAATTGTGATATTTAATACTGTCATAGATATTCAGAATATAAATTTATAAGAGCTTATAGCTAAAGAGTTAATAAAAGTGTACATGTAATTAAAATATAAAAGTTCAATACTCCTCTAATCCTATTTATAAATCACTTCCAACATGTTTCACATAAATCAAGAAAAATTTTAAACTTCATTGATTTTCATTTAAAATTCAACAAGTTTTTAACTTTATCCTTATTTAATACTACTTCTGGTCCTAATTATAAGAGCCAGTTAACTAATTTGAAGAGATCAAGGAAGCAAGTTGAGTTAGTTATTTGTCCTAAATAGGTGTTGTCTTTCCTAAAATATCCTCATTAATTAAGTGTATTGACTAAAACTATTATTATTAAAAGGGCTACTTTGAAAAAAATATATAAATATGAGAGACAAAGTAAATTGGGGTCTTATATTTAGGACCAAAATAAAAGTTAAATAGGATCTTATATTAAGGACCGGAAGTTGTATATGTTACATTTCATATAGATAGAATCAATATAATAATAAATAAATAGTAAAATTGTATACCTATACAAAAAAAAATTTTCAGTATCCTATAAATATAACTAAAAATTGTTTTCTCTCTCTATTAATAGGATAGAAAAAGTATATTTTAAAAATACAATTAACGGAGTCAAGTCAATGGCTGACATAAGGGCGGCTCCCCGTTTCTTTTTCCACAAACCGCTGATTGGATACATCAGGAGTATTATATACATTTTTTTTTCATTTTACTTCTTGATCTCCAACCCGTAAGTCTCTTTCTCTCTCTCCCCCCTCTGATCTTTATCGATCATCAACTACATTCGTGGCCAACCCAGCAATTCACAGGTAACTTTCCGCTCCACCTGCACTTTTTTTCCTGGTTTGATTGATGATGATGCTGGTTGTTCCACTTTTAACGGATTCTACTTCTTCTTCTTCTTCATTCCAACAGTCCAATATCTTTGAATCCCATACCGACGGAAAATTCGATGGGTCAGGTGAATATGCCTATGACACGGCAAGGTAACCGTTAATCATTTCACTTTCGGTGGGGAGATATTTTAAATGTCATACTTGAAAAATAAAAGACGTGTGTTAAAAAGAAATCAAATAGGGACATTATGATTAGGGTTAATTAATCCGCAAGTCCTTATAGTTTCAATGAATTTTGAATCAGGTCCCTATAGTTTTTTTTCTTTTTATCATGTCCTTATATTTTTACTTTTTTTTAATTAGGTCCTTGCATTTATTTTTCTTTTAATTAAATCCTTATAATTTTACTAAATTTTTAATCAGGTCCATGTAGTTTTAATTTTTATTTATTAATTAAATATAAGCTTAATTAAATAGATTAATACTGAAATATAAAATATTAATAATTAAATTAATAATTATGTGATAAAAAAGTAATAGAATTAATTAATTCAGGAAAATTTTTAGAACAATTAATTTTTTTGCTGAAAAAATTAAAATCATTATAATAATTCAATATCTTTAGAATATTCTTGTTTATAAACTAATATTAAATAACATATACTATTTTATGTTTATATAATAGTACTATTAGAATTTATAAAATAAAGAATAAAAAATTCAGGGACTTAATTAAAAATAAGGTGAACTTATAAGGACTTGATAAAAAGAAAAATAAATATAAGGACCTAATTAAAAACAGGTGAAAGTATAAGGATCTGATAAAAATTAAAAAAAAACTATAAGGACCTGATTCAAAATTAGTTGAAACTATAAGGAGCTGTGGATTAATTATCCCTCATGATTAACACAAAAGAAATTAATTACCACCAAGAAATAATCTTTTGGCTCCTTTCATACACTAGAAATTTATAAAAGAGATAGAAGTGAACATATATAATTCTCTCGTCCTTAATATAAAATTTATTTAACTAATTTGATTGGATTAAGAAAGTTACGTAAGTTAGTTAATTGTAAAAAATATGATATGTTTTTTCTAAAACACTATAATCATCTTTTTTAATATCCTTCATCCCTCACTTACTTGATTATTGAGGGAGTATTTATAGGGATAACTTAAAAAAATTAATAAATATGATAAATAAGTCTTATATTTAAGACTAAAATTAACTTAACGATTAGGTCCTATATTAAAAACTAGAGGAGGAGAAATGAAGATTAATGAAGGAAATCGGCCAAGCTATCAACTCTGAGCTTCAAGACTTTATTCAATCGTAGGGTTGGTACATATACTAATAGAAAATAACTGAAAAATATAAAAAAAGAAAACTTATGAATTTGGATAAATCTAATCTAGATGAAATCAGATACATTAGCTGATCTTATTTTCCTAAAATATCTTAAAGAAATAAATATTTGAAATAACAAAATAATAGATTAATGGGCCCTTAATGGGCTTGGGCCTTCTGGACGTTGGTCAACAAGAAACGGAAATGGATCCGAAAATAGAAATGGAAGCGGGTTTGAAAAATCTGCTCGGGTCTGGCAAAAAAAAAAGAAGAATAATTCGAATCCAAAGGCGCCCAACATTGCCTCGACTGCTTGGAATGCTAATGAAATTTTTGTAGAATTTTATTATGCACATATATATAGATATATATAGATATATATGTATCCCTGTTACCGAAAGTTCAAATTGCGCTTGTTATTTATTATTAAAAAAAAAACGTAAAAAGAAGCCGTCAACTGCCATCACCGGCATCACTTTTTTGCCACCACCGTCGATCTTCTTCTCTTTTATCTCCTCCAGACTCCAAACAAGCATTCTTCTTTGACACCAGAAGCTCTAGTTGCTGCCCTGTGGAAGCCAATTTAATGGAATTGGTTTCCGAATAGAAGCCTAATTCAGCATAATTTAGCTGAACCTAACCTGTACACATTTGTAGGTGTTTATGTAATTTAAAATGTAAGCAATAAATATGAGGAGTTCTTGAGTTTTCTTTCTTTGTTTTTTTGCTTTTTTTTAAAAAGGCACGTTACAACTCGAGAATTACAACAAAGACAGTCCTAGAAGCAATGAATACGAAGTGGTGTTGAGTTTTAGCAGAGGTGTAGAGACTCAAGAATATTTCGCTTCCTGTATCTATTCATCTCTAAGGATGGGCAGGATTTCCGTTTTCAAAGATGATGTTTCTACTCAATTGCTGCGAAGCATTATTGAAGGTTCAAAAATTTCAATCATCATCCCCTCTGAACACTATGCTAGTTCCAGAAGGTGCCTTGAGGAACTCACAAAAATCATGGAGTTTCGCAGAGCATATGATCAGGTGGTTCTTCCCATATTTCATGGTGTGGATCGGTCCGAAGTTCGTAATCAAGAATATAGCTTTGGAAAAGCATTTCAAGGTCTTATACAAAGAATTTCACCCACCGAAGATGAAGTGTCAAGGTGGAGGACAGCTCTTAGTGAAGTTGGAGGCCATTATGGGGTTCTTGTGCCTTATTTCAATTCCAAGTAATTTATTTTTCATTTCATTTTGTGTTTTAATTATTTTCGATTTTCCAAATATTTTGCAGTCATGCTTAACCAACCATTGCTCTTCTGCTTTTTTTTTATTTTTATTAATAATTCACAGCAATCAAAGTGAGTATACTCAGCATATTGTCCAGTGTGTTCGTTATATATTGAATACAAAAGGCCCGTTTGCCACGGATGGCCTAGTTGGAGTTCGTTCTCAAGTGCAAGAAGTGATTAAAATGCTCCAAGATAACAAAACAAAAGATGTTGTTTCCATAGGTATATGGGGAATGGGAGGTGTTGGCAAAACAACTCTTGCCAGACTCATTTTTGACCACATTCAATTCGAATTTGAGAGTGCATGTTTTCTGTTAAATGTCAGGGAAGCTTGGGAGAGGAAAGGCACAGATTCTTTACTACAAAATCTTCATTCAGTTCTCAATGAAGGAACAGATACGGTGACAATGCTTAGCGTTGATCAATCAGCATGCCTCAAGTTGAATATAATATCTTTCCAAAGGAAGGTACTTATTGTGCTTGATGATGTGAATCACTTGGAGCAACTACGTGCTTTACGGGGAAGCTGGTTTGGTGAAGGGAGTAGAATAATCATTACAACAAGAGATTTACATCTACTTCAGGCCTTTCAAGTGGACCTTATACATAGCATGAAACTTTTGACTGATCATGAGTCCCTTCAACTTTTTGCTAGAAAGGCATTTAATCAAGCAAGTCCTGAAGGAGAACTCAACGAACTTTGTAGAAGAATGATACTTGCCTATACTGAGGGACTGCCCCTAGCTATTCTATATACCATCTACATTTTGTATGGGCGGTCACCGATGGAATGGGAGTCAGCATTGATGAAACCGAGCACAAATATCCCTCGTGATATATACGACCAACTAAAGCACAGCTTTGACTCTTTAGATGAACATAAAAAAGAAATATTTCTAAATATAGTTCTATTTCATACTGGGGAAGACATGCATGATGTGATTCAGAAGCTGAATGGCCTTGGATGTAACCCTAGCACTGGGATAAGAGCCCTAGTGGATCGAAGCCTTGTAACCATTGACAACAACAAACTTGAAATGCATAATCTGTTGCAGTTCATGGGAAGACAGATAATACGTCAAACTTCACAAAATAAGCTTCCAAATCGGGGTAAGTTATGGTTTTGTGAGAATGCATGTGCTTTACATACATATTATCAAGCATGCATGTATCATCCATAATATTTCTGACATGTTATAATCTTAAATTAGAAAGATGTTTATATCATAACATTATTTTAAATCACAACTTAATTTGTTGATATTCTGTATTTTTGAAATATAATAATCAGGTCATAAATACGAGGTATTTTTGAGTTTTAGAAGTAAAGACACTCGGGCAACTTTTACTTCACATCTCTATTCGGCTCTATGTAATGCTGGTATTACTGTTTTCAAAGATGATGTTGAGCTTCCCAAAGGAAATCATATCAAAACGGAACTATTGCAAGCAATTGGAACTTCAAAAATTGCAATTATCATCTTCTCTAGGGAATACGCTGCATCTAAATGGTGTTTGGAGGAGTTGTCAATAATCATGGAGCTTCATAAATCAAATGATCAGGTGGTTCTACCCGTGTTTTATTACGTGTATCCAGCAGATATTCGTAATCAAACTTCTAATTTTGGAGTAGCATTTGAAGATCTTATACAAAGAATTTCACCCCCTGATTATCAAGTTTCTAACTGGAAGACAGCCCTTGCTGAAGCTGGGGGCATTGCGGGCATCGTTGTACTTGGTTCCAGGTAATCTTTTTACTCTTTATTTGCTTTTTGATTGGGACACCTTATGTGTATTTTATATGTATGTATATGTATATTGTTTGTGCTGGCAAAAAATGTGTATTGTTTGGAATAATTGGAATATCAAGAACTAGTTTCAATACTCATCACAATAGTGAGTATCATGATGCTCATCAAATCCCAACTTTACAAATTTAAAATCGACGGTCAAGATTTAAGTTTTCAAATTATTACTTTTTGAAAAATATTTTTTTTAATAGGTATATAATCCAAAAGAAATATAATCTCTTAATTGTAAGATATTTAAAAAAATAATTTTTTTATTTAAAAATTTTAAATCTAAATCATTAAAACTATATTTAAATAATGCATATTTCACTATAACAAGGAGTATCATGGTACTCGTCTTTCCGGAATATCAAGGCATCATTATTAGGGACACGCCACACTTTAGCTTGTTCCACATGCCGGTACAGTTTTTTTCCGCTCGCAATTTCGGTGAATATTTTATCAAATCGAGTACTGGGGCTAGCAAACTCCTCCTAGAATCATGCATGGCTTATTATAAAAATCAACTTAGCACAAGATATATGCGTTATCATTAATTGTGCTTCATTGCAAGTTTTTTTTTTGGCATTTTTGACTTCTGAATTATTTATATTGCCACTAATTAACCGTGTGTGTGAACGAGCTTATTGCAAAATGGAGCCTTTTTTTAATCAAAATTATAAGCACATGATATGCATTGCATGAAGCCTAAAATTAAATAAGCTAGTCACCATTTCAATGCAAAACGGCCTCCATGCATCCAATTTTGTATAGATATATAGATTTAATGATGGAATCACAACCTTAGTCAAGAATAAAGAAAAATATTAGAAAAATATTTAAAGATTTGAGGAACAAGAAATAATCTTGTTCTCTGTGATTTTCAGTAAAGTTTTAAATAAATGTGACCTTTTCAGATTATTTTATATCAAAGTCACTCCTATTGATATCTGTTTTAATTACTAAAGGATAAATTCTATATAAACACGCCCTAAAACCTCTTGTTTGTATGCCTTATCATTTCCTTCTCTCATATTTCTTCCTTGCTTCTCTCAAATTCTCTCTCTTATTCTTTCTCTTCTCTTCTTCCTTTTCTCATTTTAGATCATATGAATAAGTGTGATATTTATTCATATAAACTATTCTGCTCATAATGAACTGAATGTTTGTTTTAATATATTTTCTCCTCCTATCAATGCTACTGCGTAGGTCGTGTCACTTTCATCTATAGTTTTTTTTTTTAATAAGCCTTTGATCTATAATTTATTCATAATATATCCTCTTCTCCAAACACATGTAGCTTGACTTTCTAGAACCAATACTCATTTTCTTTATAAATGCATATATGATTTGCAGGGATGAGAGTGAAAATGTCAAAGCTGTTGTTGAGAATGTTTGTGATATATTGGGCAGGAAAGGCTTGTTTGTCGCTGAGTATCCAGTAGGAATGGATAATCGTGTGCAAGAATTGATCACAATGCTCCAAAATCATCAATCTGAAGATGTTGTCATTGTGGGGATATGGGGAATGGGTGGCGTAGGCAAGACAACTATTGCCAAAGCCATTTATAATGAAATTGGTCCCATGTTTGAGAGTAGAAGTTACCTTCCAAATATTAGAAAAGTTTGGAGCCAAGAAAAAGACCAAGTGAGCTTACAGAACCAACTTCTTTCTGAAATATGTAGGACAGCAAAAATGAAGATAAATAGCATTGAATCAGGAACAATCACATTGAGGGAGAGACTTTGCCATAAAAAGGCATTAGTTGTGCTTGATGATGTGGATGAGTCGGCCCAACTAAATGCTCTAGTTGGAAGTCGTGACTGGTTTAAATCAGGAAGTATAATAATCATCACAACTAGAAATCAACGTCTACTTCTTGAAATAAACTGTGGTGTTTATCTAATGAAGAATTTGGATGTAGGGGAATCTATTGAGCTTTTTAGTTGGCATGCATTTAAACAAGAATGTCCTAAAGAAGATTTTACTGAACTTTCAAGAGATATAGTTGCATATTGTGGGGGACTTCCATTAGCTCTTGAAGTCCTTGGCTCCTATTTATTTGGTAGAGAAGCCAAGGAATGGAAGAGTTTATTGGAGAAACTTAAAAAGATTCCCAACAGCAAGATACATAAGAAACTAAAGATAAGTTTTGATGGGTTAGATGATTTGGAGAAAGAAATATTCCTTGATATATCTAGCTTTTTTATTGGGATGGACAAAAATGAAGTAACGCAAATATTAAATGGTTGTGAATTCTTTGCTGATATTGGAATCAAAACCCTTTCAAAGCGATGCCTTGTAACCATGGATGAGAAGAACAAGCTCAGTATGCATGATTTGCTGTGGGACATGGGAAGAGAAATAATTCGTGAACAATCTCAAAAGGAGCTTGGAAAGAGAAGTAGGTTATGGTTTCATAAGGATGCCCTTGCCGTGTTATTAGAACACATGGTAGGAGTTTTTCTATTCAGTATTTACTGTTTCTTGTTAACATTTATTGTAAGAAGCGCAAATGATCGAGCATCCATAAATTGGTCATATAAACCATCTGATTTCTTCTCTCTTATTGTAAGCATTTAAAAACTCATTTTTTAGTGACTTAGTTTGCTTTCTGGCAAACATAGAACACAAGTGCGCACTTTAATTTCAATATGCTTTTATTTTTGTAGGGAACAGCGGCTATTGAAGGATTGTCTTTGAAGCTGTCACAGAGTGAAAAAATGAATTTTCAGACAGAAACATTTAAGAATATGAAGAGACTTCGATTACTTTGTCTTGACAATGTACAACTTAGAGGAGACTACAAATACATTTCTAGAGATCTCAAATGGCTTTGCTGGCATGGCTTTCCTGTAAAATACATTCCCAGCAACTTTTATCAACAGGGATTAGTTGCTATTGACTTGAAATACAGTAGCCTCAGACAATTGTGGAAGGAACCCCAGGTATGTAAATTAGTACTTAGTTGTTGGCTTTTTTAGTCATAACAACAACTGAAATTGAAAAAAACAAACTCTAAATTTTTATGACACAGAAAACCTGATTCTCTTTTAAAAAAAATTCAAAGAGAGAATCCTAATAAAATCCAACTAAAATATCTAAATTTAAATTAAGACGTACACTTTTAATAAATTCTTAATTAAGCCATGTGACCTTATCAGGAATTTTTGAATGTTGCTGAATAAATAGAATGTCCTCTTTAATTAGAAAGAAAAATTAATTTGGTCTCTCATATCTTATGATTACTTTTTGAGACTAAAAAACACATAAGTAATTTTTACAGTGTTTAAAATTTGCATATAACTAAAACTTTCAAAAATATTTTAATCAAAAATTTTAAATTACAATATAAGACCCTTTAAATAAATATTTAGAGAAAAATATTTTGTTTAAAAAATATTTGTAATTGATATAAATAATATTTCAGAGCAGAATAAAATAAAAATTATTTTTTATTTTCTGAATCGAAGGTTTAGCTAATAAAACTAAAGTAAATTATAAGAATATAATTTTAAATATTTCATGTCATTAAAATATTTAAGATCTTAAAATAAATATCTACAAACAGAAAATAAAAAATATTTATTTCAAGGCTATTCATATTGTAATTTAAAATGTTTTATTAGAATATTTTTGAAGCTTAGTTATACATACAAATTTTAAACACTATAAAATCACTTGTATTATTTTTTTCTCAAAAAATAATCATAAGAGATGAGAGATAGAAGGGATAAAATAATGAATTTTATTTTTTTTATTAAAGTGATTCATTTTATACATTTGACAATATGTAGAAATCATAAGTTAGATCTCACCACTTGATTAAGAATTTGATAAAAGTGTATGCCTTAATTTGGATTTATATATTTTAGCCGGTTTTATAGAGATTTTCCCTACTTCAAATTTGTAGCATGGGTTAGTAGTTTCTGTGACATAAAGTATTATCGTAAGTTTTTAGCTCTGCCAGTATCTGACTTGAAAGCTTGGTTAATTTGTTGGTAATAGCTTCAAAGTTCATAGACACTGAATAAAAGATGGATTTTTTTTATTGGATTTTTTATTTACAGCCTTCTTAATATAGATATTTATTTTAGATTTTTTTTATAGCTTATGAATGAGTCTTCCCTTGCTACTACTAAAGAATAAAGCTGAATGCTTGAGCTAGATTATCTTTATTTCACATTCGCTTTATTCGTCTTGCTATAGATCTAGGCAATACACCATCATATGGAATTTTGTGTTACCTTTTCCAGATTAAATATTCCATATTCTTTTTTTCCCTTCAAGGGTTAATTTTTAAATTGACTGGAAACAATGTTTTCACTCACGAATTTTCGTTTCAGATGAAGGATTTTACATGTAATTATGTAATTGTTTCCACGTATCTTGTTATTTATTTTTTAAAGATGATAATATAATCCCTCCTTGCAATTAAATAATTTTGTTGTAGTTATTGAAGATGCTGAAAATCCTCAATCTCAGCCACTCTCATTACTTGGTGCAAACTCCTGATTTCTCAAAACTACCAAATCTTGAAAAGTTGATCCTCAAAGATTGTCCAAGTTTAGTCATGATACACCATTCTATTGGGCTTCTTCATAAACTTCTTTTACTAGACTTGGAGGATTGTATTGGCCTTCATACTCTCCCAAGAAGCATTTATAGATTAAAATGCTTAAAAACTCTCATTCTTTCTGGTTGTAAGAATATTGAAAAGCTAGAGGAGGACATAGAGCGAATGGAATCTTTGACAACTCTAATTGCTCCTGCAATTAAACAAGTGCCATTTTCTATAGCGAGATTGAGGAGCATCTTGTATCTATCTATTTGTGGTCATGAAGGATTATCACATCATGTGATTCCTTCTCTTTACCAGTCTTGGATGTCCCCGACAAACAGTCCACTACCTCTAATTCCAACACATGCGGGCATGCCATCATCGATTTTGTTGAATATGCTAAACGATATCCCTAATTCTTTAACAACCCCTAGCAGTGAACTAAAGCAACAAAGTCCTTTGTTGGAAGATGGATTAGAGATTCTTGATTCTTTGTGTGCCACAAATTGTATGGACAACTGGAGGCCTAAACATTGCTCTAGACATCTTTTAGTTCAAATTGGAAAGAATTGTCAAGTCTTTCATACACTTTCAGAGAGGGTTTCACAAGTTCTCTCTAATCTAATTGGATTTTCTTTTTTATTGTTTGAGAAAGATTGCTGCATGCATATTATATAATTAAATTAGTGTCCATGTTTCCATCATTATGCAGGGATTAAATCTTACAGAGTATAATGACGATTGTGCTCTCCCCTGTGACAATTACCCCTATTGGCTAACATTCAAGGGTGAAGGAGATTCTGTAAAATTTAAAGTACCTTCATTTAATAGTCATGATAAGTTAAAAGGAATGACTATTTGTTGCGTATATTTTCCCTCAAGTGATTTGGGTAACAAGGCATGAGAATCTTGTATAATTAGCCTCATGATCATAAATTATACAAAGACAATCACTTTGCGCTACACGCAAGAGTCACTCACTTCATTTGAAGAAGCAGACGGGAAGGAAATAATATCAAATCTTGAATCTAGTGATCAAGTGGAGGTGATAGTAGCTTTTGAGAGAGGATTCTTGGTGAAGAAAACAGTCATCTATTTGATATATAATGAATCATTTGATGAACAAATGGAGCCTTCATCATCTAAAGCTACCAATTTGACTAGAAAGGCAATGAAGATTTGAAATTTGGAAACTTTCTTCCATTTTTGGCTGCGATTCTTTTTTTGAAGTCAGTATATTTTCATTTCAGAACTAAAACTGATCTATATGCATGGTTGTACATAAATGATTACATTCTCCCATTTGTGGCACTCTTTGACAGATAATGTGGTGGGATTTTCCTTTTACCTCTTCCTTTTTCTGCCGTTGGTCACTTCTTGATAAAATCAAAATAAAATTGTAGCTCAGAGGTAAAAATAAACAAATATAGTAACACAAATTTAGACTAAATTGACAGGTGAAAGGTTTATTATGATTCTTAGTATACTTGATAAGAAATTAAATGAATTAACATATTTTTTTGACTTGCTATTAATGATAATGATTGTTAATATTTTTATTTTTATTTATCAAATAATGAGGTTTGTGTATTATACCAAAATACATTAAGTTTCCTCGTGAGACTCATATATATATATATATATATATGTATGTATGTATGTATATCATTAACTTACCATCCAACAATGAGATATGGGATAACTCTAATTTATCTACCAGCCTATTCTATACACTCATAGGTTCCAATGTAGCTATCTATGAATGGGGTATCACATTCTCTATATATATTCTCTAATAAATAAAAACAGAACCAAAGTACATAATAGAAACTCGTATGAAAAAACAAATAAGACACAAATGTAGGATCCTGTTCCATTACGCAGAAATCACATTATAAAACGGACAACAACAGAGTAAATTGCGACATCACAATAACAATTCAACTATCCAAATATAATTACCCATAAGGTCATCGTAATCACACTTACCTTATTCACTAAAAATCATATATAGCTGAAGCTTACCATCACACATGTCAAAGTAGCTACAAAACACCGATCGATCAATCTAAACATTGAAAAAAAAACCGAAAAAAAAAAGACAAGAAGAAAACACGGGAAAAAGAAGACAGCAAAATCTGAGGGAAAGAATTAGAGTCAGAGACGGGAAAGTGATTTTTTTTTTTTGGTACAAATGGGAAAGTGAATTATTGTACCTCCCTTTTTCTCATACTCAAAAGCCTGTGATCTTATTCTTGGCCCAATACATACGATATAGCTAGCCCATACTCCTACTTGGCCGGCCCATTCCATCAAGATCTGTATAATCCATTACATCTATACCTTCAAGTTCAGCCTGCTTTAAAGTAACGAGGGTTGTGTTTAATGGAAAACATGATGAATCAAGGTTGAATCCTTATTGAAAGATGTGCTTATATTTAATACCTGATAGTGTATCCAACAAAATTTTCACTAATATGGTTCCCACCTCACGCTTACTTTTCATCTCCAAATAGGCACACGTCTTCAATTTGGCTCCCCCACAAGTATTGTGACTTCGATGTCATATGCATTTAGATAAACATCATTTAATGCTGACACAGATGGCTAGTAGTGTGAGATGTGAGCTGGAGGAATCTTTAGTCTCGCATATATTTCTTTTTAAAGTGAATTTATTTCACATGAGAAGAAAAACAGGTTTAAGGTGAACTTAAAAAAGTGAGTTAAAGGCTAGTTGCAAGCCATGGGTTGTCCTGATACAACACCGCCTGTCATGTTTATGCTAGGTTTTAAACTCAACTGACATTGACATGTTTATACATGCAAACATATTTAATTTGAACAAAACCCAAAAATATGTAAATTGTTTTTTTTATATGATTGACTAACTAGCTCACATCATTGTTAGGCTCAATTTGAAGCAACTCGTTCAAAGAATTTTTTTTGTTGGGTACTTGTACTGATTTGAACTTGAAACTTTATGTTTTGACCAGCCAAAATACTTTTGTTAAAGCGAGGATTTTTTTTTTTTTTTACGCTTAGCACAAGTATTTTTTTTATTAGAGGAAATTTTGTTTGAGGCACTATCAAGTATTAAATATGAGCATTTGTTTCAATAAAAATTTAATCTTGATTCATCATATTATGATATACTAGTCTATTCCATTAAACACAACTCTCGTGACTTTAAAGCGAACTGAACTTGAAGGTATGGATGTAATGGATGATACAGATCTTGAGTGGAATGGGCCGGCCAAGTGAGTATGGGCTAGATATATCGTATGTATTGGGCCAAGAATGAAGTCACAGCCTCTTGAGTATGAGAAAAAGGAAGGTACAAAAATTCACTTTCCCCTTTGTACCAAAAAAAAAAATCACTTTACCCTGTCTCTGACTCTAATTATTTCCCTCAGATTTTGTCTTCTTCTTTTTCCCGTCTTTTCTTCTTGTCTTTTTTTTTTTTTCATGTTTAGAGTGATCAATCGGTGTTTTGTAGCTAATTTGATATGTGTGACGCTAAGCTTCAGCTATATATGATTTTTAGTGAATAAGGTAAGTGTGATTCCCATGACCTTATCGGTAATTATATTTGGATAGTTGAATTGTTATTGTGATGTCGCAATTTGCTCTGTTGCTGTCCGTTTTATAATGTGGTTGCTGCGTAATGGATATATACCTCGGAACAGGATCCTACATTTGTGTCTTATAGTCTTTGGTTCTGTTTTTATTTTATTAGAGAACATATATAGAGAATGTGATACCCCATTCATATATAGCTACATTGGAACCTATGAGTATATAGAATAGGCTGGTAGATAAATTAGAGTTATCCCATATCTCATTGTTGGATGGTAAGTTAATGATACATTGAGTCTCATCAGGAAACTTAATGTATTTTGGTATAATACACGAACCTCATTATTTGATAAAACAAAAATAAAAATATTAACAATCATTGTCATTAATAACAAGTCAAAAAAATATGTTAATTCATTTAATTTCTCATCAAGTATACTAAGAATCATAATAAACCTTTTGCTCCTCAATTTAGTCTAAATTTTCATTACTATATTTGTTTATTATTATATCTGAGCGACAATTTTATTTTGATTTTATCAAAGAATGACCAACGGAAGAAAAAGGAAGAAGTAAAAGGAAAATCCCACCACATTATCTGTCAAACAGTGCCACAAATAGGAGAATGTAATCATTTACGTACAACCATGCATATAGACAAGTTTGAGTTCTGAAATGAAAATATACTGACTTTAGAAAAAGTGTTGCCACCAAAAATGGAAGAAAGTTTCCAAATCTCAAATCTTCATTTCCTTTCAAGCCAAATTGGTAGCTCTAGACGATGAAGGCTCCATCTGCTTATCAAATGACTCATTATAGATCAAATAGATAGCTGTCTTCTTCACCAAGAATCCTTTCTCAAAAGCTACTATCACCTCCACTTGGTCATTTGATTCAAGATTTGACATTATTTCCTTCCCCTCTACTTCTTCAAATGAAGTGAGTGACTCTTGCGTGTAGCGCAGAGTGATTGTCTTTGTATAATTTATTATCATTAAGCTAATTATACAAGATTTGCATGCCTTGTTACCCATATCACTTGAGGGGAAATATACGCAACAAATAGTCATTCCTTTTAACTTATCACGACTATTAAATGGAGGTACTTTAAATTTTACAGAATCTCCTTCGCCCTTGAATGTTAGCCAATAGGGATAATTGTCACCGAGGAGAACACAATCATCATTATACTTTGTAAGATTCAATCCCTGCATAATAATGGAAACACGGACACTTATTTAATTATATAATATGCATGCAGCAATCTTTCTCAAATAATAAAAAAGAAAATCCAATTACATCAGAGAGAACCTGTGAAACGCTCTCTGAAAGTGTATGAAAGACTTGAGAATTCTTTCCAATTTGAATTAAAAGATACTCGGAGCAATTTTTAAGCCTCCAGCTGTCCATACAATTTGTGGTACATAAAGAATCAAGAATCTCCAATCCATCGTCCAACAAAGGACTTTGCTGCTTTAGTTCACTGCTAGGAGCTGTTATAGAACTAGGGATACTGTTTAGCATATTCAACAAAATTGATGATGGCATGCCCACATGTGTTGGAATAAGAGGTAGTGGATTTTTTGTTGGGGACATCCAAGACTGGTAAAGAGAAGGAATCACATGATGTGATAATCCTTCATGACCACAAATAGATAGATACAAAACGCTCTTTAGTCTCACTATAGAAAAGGGCACTTGTTTTATTGCAGGAGCAATTAGAGTTGTCAAAGATTCCATTTGCTCTATGTCCTCCTCTAGCTTTTCAATATTCTTACAACCAGAAAGAATGAGAGTTCTTAGGCATTTCAATCTGTAAATACTTCTTGGGAGACTATGAAGGCCAATACAATCCTCCAAGTCTAGTAAAAGAAGTCTATGAAGGAGCCCAATAGAGTGATGTATCATGAATAAACTTGGACAATCTTTGAGGATCAACTTTTCAAGATTTGGAAGTTTTGAGAAATCAGGAGTTTGCACCAAGTAATGAGAGTGGCTGAGATTGAGGATTTTCAGTGTCTTTAGAAGCTACAACAAAAAAATTTAATTTCAAAAAGGGATTATATTAACATTTTAAAAAAATAAATAACAAATTATTTTGAAACAATTACATGCGAAATCCTTCATCTAAACCAAAAATTCTTAACTAAAAACATTGTTTTCAATCAATTGAAAATTTAACTATTAAAGGGAAAAACGGAATATGGAATACTTAATCTAGAAAAGGTAACACAAAATTCCATATGATGGTGTGATGCTAATGTGAAATAAAGAATCTAGTAGCTTTACTCTTCAATAGTAGCAAGGGATGAATCACTCAGGAGTTATGAAAAAAAAATCTAAAATAAAGATCCATATCATGAAGACTGTAATAGTGTAATATATCTACACATCTCAAATCCCTATTTTATTCCATATCCCTGGAATTTTGAAGCTACTACTAACAAATTATCTAAGCTTTTAAGTCAAGTATTGGTAGAGCAAAGAACTTACAATAATACTATATCTCACAAAAACTATTTACGCATACTACAAATTTGAAGTATTTTGGTAATTTTTTTTAGAGAAATTAGGCTTTCTCTGTCATAATAGTTTGGCAATTTTTTATTTATTAATTTTTTTGTAAATACGGATTAAAGAACCAACTAAGTATTAATTCACATACCTGGGGTTCCTTCCACACTTGTGTGAGGTTACTGTATTTTAAGTCAATAGCAACTAAATTCTGTTGATAAAAGTTGCTAGGAATGTATTTTGTGGGAAAACCATGCCAGCAGAGCCATCTCAGATTTCTACTTATGTATTTGTAGCCTCCCCTTAGTTGTACATTTTCAAGATGAAGCAATCTGAGTTTGTTGATCATCCTAAATGCTTCCGTCTGAAAATGCATTTTTTCACTTTGTGACAATGTCAAAGACAGTCCTTCTATAGCCTCTGTTCCCTACAAAAAAAAGAAACCCATTGAAAATAAGTGTTCTTGTGTTATACAAAATGAGTTTTAAAATGCATACTATAAGAGAGACAAAATCAAGTGGTTTATATGATCAATCAACTAGTGCTCATTTGTGCTTCTTGCAATACACGTAATAGAAAATAATACGGCCTACCATGTGTTCGAATAATACAGCAAGTGTATCCTCTTGAAACCACAACCTACTTCTCCTCCCAAGCTCCTTTTGAGATTGTTTACGAATTATTTCTCTTCCCATGTCCCTCAACAAATCATGCATAACAAGTTTGTTTTTCTCATCAATGGATACAAGGCTTCGCTCAATAAGGGTTTTGATTCCGATGTCAGCAAACAATTCACAGCCATTTAATATCTGTGTCACTTCATTTTTGTCCATTCCAATAAAGAAGCAAGATATATCAAGGAATATTTCTTTCTCCAAATCATCACTTAAACCATCAAAACTTATTTTAAGCTTCTTTTGTATCTTGTCATTGGGAATTTTTTTAAGTTTCTCCAATACAATCTTCCATTCCTCAACATCTCTATCGAATAAATAGGAACCAATGACTTCAAGAGCTAATGGAAGTCCCCCAGAGTATGCAACTATATCTCTTGAAAGTTTAATGAAATCTTTTTTAGGACTTTCTTGTTTAAATGCATGCCAACTAAAAAGCTCAATAGATTCACTGTCATCCAAATTCTTCATTAGATAAACACCACAGTTCACTTGAAGGAGTAGGCGTTGATTTCTAGTGGTGATGATTATTATACTTCCAGGTTTAAACCAGGCACGGCTTCCAACTAAAGCATTTAGTTGGACTAACTCATCCACGTCATCAAGCACAACCAGTACCTTTTTATGGTGAAGTCTATCCCTTAATGTGATTATTCCTGATTCAATGCTATTTATCTTTATTTTTGTTGTCATACATATTTCAGAAAGAAGTTGGTTTTGTAAGTTCACTTGGTTCTTTTTTCCTTGATTCCAAACTTCTCTGATCTTTGAAAGGTAACTTCTACTCTCAAATGTGCAACCAATTTCATTGTAAATGGCTTTGGCAATAGTTGTTTTGCCTGTACCCCCCATTCCCCATATCCCTATCATAATAACATCTTCAGATGGATGGTTTTGGAGCATTTTGATCACTTCTTGCATGCGATTATCCACTCCTACTGGGTGCTCAGCGACAAACAAATCTTTCTTGTCCAATATATCACAAACATTCTCAATGATAGTTTTCACATTTTCACTTTCATCCCTGCAAATCATATAAGCATAATAGGAAATGAGCATTGGATTTTTGTGTGTGTGTGTGTGTGTATTGAAGGCTACATGTGTTTGGAGAAGAGGAGATATTGTGAATAAACTATAGATCAAAGCAACAGGACCTAGTTAATAGCAGCAATGTAAGACAAAAATATATTAAAACAAACATTCAATTAGTTATAAAGACTATAATTTGTATGAATAAATGTCACGCTTATTTATAGGATTTAGATTGAAGAAGGAAAAGAGAGGAAAGAATTAGGAAGAGACACAGAGAATTAGGGAGAAGTAGGAAGAAACATGAGATCAGAAGGCAATGATAAGGTATACAAGCAAGAGATTTAGCGCGTGTTTATAGAGCCTTAAAGCTATGCTTAAGTAATTAAAACAAATCTCAATAAATTGATTTTCATATAACATAATCTGGAAAAGATCACATTTATTAGTTGGCAAAAAAAAGATAACATTTATTAAATAGTTTCCATCAAATAAACAAAAGAAAACAAAATCACTTCTTGTTCCTCAAATCATCAAATATTTTTCTTTCTTCTTGACTAAGATCTTGATCCCATCCTTTTATATGCACACACATATACACGCATGTAAAATTGGATGGAAGCCATTTTGTATTGGGATGGTTATTGGCTTTTTTTAGACTTCATGCAATGCATACTTATGATTTTCATTTTTAAAAAAAGGCTTTATTTTGCAATAAGAAGTTCTTTCTCATGCAACATATAAAAAATTCAGAAGTCAAAAATACAAAAATTACTCGGTATGAAGCAAAATTAATGTTAACACTTATATTCCATAGATATTAAGAGTAACAAATTACCTTGAACCAAGCACAACAATCCCTGCAATGCCTCCAGCCTCAACAAGGGCTGTTCTCCACTTGGAAACTTGATGTTCTAGTGGTGAAATTCTATTTATAAGATCTTTAAATGCTTTTCCGAAACTAGAAGTTTGGTTACGAATTTCTGATGGATCTACGTCATAAAACACAGGTAGAACCACTTGACAATTTGATTTATGAAGCTCCATGATTATTGACAATTCCTCCAAACACCATTTAGATGCAGCGTATTCTCGAGAGAAGACAATGATTGCAATTTTTGAACTTCCAATTGCCTGTAATAGTTCTCTGTCGATACGATTTCCTCTAGGAAGCTCAACATCATCTTTGAAAACAGTAATGCCAGCATTACATAGAGCTGTATAAAGATGTGAAGTAAAAGTCGCTCGAGTGTCGTCACCTCTGAAACTTAAAAACACTTCATACCTATGACCTGGATGTTATATTTTAAAAATACATAATATCAATAAATTAAATTCCTATTTAATTAATATGTTGTAGACATTCTTATAATTGAATATTATAAAATAATGTCAGAAATATTATGGATAATAGTATTTATTATCACTGCTACATACATGTTTGACAATACATAAGCTACATGTATCCTCCCAAAACCACAAACATACCTTTATTTAGAATGACATTTTGTGAAGTTTCACGTGTTATTTGCCTTCCCATGAGCTGCAACAGATTATGCACTCTAAGTTTGTTGTTGTGATCAATTGTTACAAGGCTTCGATTCACCAGGGCTCTTATCCCGATGCTAGCACTAAATCCACGGCCATCCAACTTCTGGATCACAGCATCCCTGTCCTCCCCAATGTAAAATAAAACTATATTGAGAAATATTTCTTTCTCATCATCATCTAAAGAGTAAAAGCTAAGCTCTAGTGTGTTGTATATATCACGAGGGAGATCTGTGCTTAGTTTTATCAATGCTGACTCCCATTCTATCGGTGACCGTCCATTCATAATAGAGCCAACGACCTTAAGAGCTAGTGGTAGCCCCTCAGTATAAGCCACCAATCTTCTGCCAAGTTCGATGAATTCTGCTTCAAGACTTGCTTGATTAAATGCTGTTCTACTGAGAAGTTCAAGAGACTCATGATCGCTCAAATGTTTTACGCTATACACATAGTCCACTCGATGAAAAGCTTGAAATATATGTGAATCTCTTGTGGTAATGATTATTATGCTCCCTTGACCATGAACATTTCCACATAAAGAACGTAGCTGCTGCACGTCATTCACATCATCAACCACAAGAAGTACCTTATGATCGGAAGCTCTTCCCAGGCTCTGTTTTTCGTCCACCTCATCTACCATTAGATCTGTTCGGTCACGCATTGCCAAAACAAGTTCTCTTATTAAACCATATGGGCCTCCCGTCTCCCAGGCTTCCCTGACATTTGAAAGAAAACATGCACGCTCGAATTCGTACTGAATGTGCTCAAAAATGAGTCTGGCAATAGTTGTTTTGCCCACACCTCCCATTCCCCATATCCCTATCCAGAGAGCATTTTTTGATTGATGCTTTTGAAGCATTTTAATCACTTCTTGCACTTGTGACTTCCATCCAACTAGGCCATCTTTGGAATCTTTCCCATCCAATATCTGACGAACACGCTCTATAATATTTTGAATAAACGTACTTTCATTCCTGTGAATTATAAAGAAAGATATAATAGCAAAAAAGGGAGCACTGATTAATATTCAAGCATGACTACAAATAAAGCAGAATAATGGTATCAAGAGCAACATATATATTCTATCAAGAAATTAAACACCATTGCGCTATTAATCTTATCACACAAAACCATAGATCTATGTTAATCTTGTTGAATAAATTAAGATTCCATTACACAACATGAATAAAAAGAAATTATGCATGTCCTGCATCCTAAAGTTGTTGCCTGTTAAAAGTTTTGATGATAACAAACACATAATAAATAAGTCGTCGTGTTATCATATTGTATGTGCTTAGTTGATTGCTATAAGTTCTGACTTAAAAACGTATACAGGGGGGAAAAACAATTTCATACTCCCTCTAGTCCTATATATTAGTTGCAAATGACCGAATCATGTTTAACAAACTAGTAATTAAAATTAGATAAAAATAACAAATAGGTCAAGAATATTTTTTTTTTTCAAATTTACCCTTATTTATTAAGAGAGTAAATGAGAGAGGCAATAAATGAAAAAAATGATGAAAGAGAATACATGAGGGTAATATTAATGGGAGAGAGTGTGTTAAATATAGTCAACTAATGACAAAATAAAAAAAAAGTAATAACTACTCAGATAAACTCAAAAATAAATCCTATATTTTGGACTAGACTCTTCTCTAAAAGTAAAGCTTACATATAAGACAGGAGAAAGTATCAACTATAGCCTGAAAAAGCACGCTTTGTATAACAGTAATTAATGTTGTTATTGTTGCTGCTGCTGTTGCTGTGTTGCTGTTTGACTACAAAACATTCAGTTCCTAGAAAGCGAACAGTCCACCCAACACATTAATTTTATGAATCAACATTATCACAATTATATTTTAATAACTAATGATTATACTACCTCTTATCCTTAATATAAAAACTAGTTGACTAATTTAAGTATATTAAGAAAATTAGTTAATTTAGTTATTTATAATAAATAAGTGTTATCTTCACTAAAATATCTTTATTAATCATATGTATTAACTAGCTAGTACTATTATTTGATGAAATCCATAACAATTGCAACTACTACAAGGACACTATCTTTAAAAAAAGAATAAATATAAGAGACAAAGTGAATTGAGGTTCTATATTTAAAATCAAATTGAAAGTTAAAACTAGCTTTTATATTAAAGAACGGAGATAGCAAATTGTGACAAGAAATCTCCCTCACACACAGAAAGAATCAGTAAAATGGAAAGATAAATAAATTACTTGGAGTTGAAATGAGGCCCAACAAACCCATAATTGCTTCCAGCTTCTCTGGTAGCTGCCTTCCACCTTGACGCTGGATGGTCAGTGGGTGTACTAGTAAATAGATTACGAAATTCACACGGACGCACATCATAAAATATGGGAAGAACTACATGATCATGTTGGTGTGCTCCGTGAAACTCCATGATTTTTATTAGTTCCTTTTGGCAAATTGCTGACCTAAGATATTGTTTAGAGAAGACGATGATTGAAATTTCAGAACCTTCAGTAGGGCTATGCAATAGCTCACTTGAGATGTCATCTTTGAGTACGGAAATTCCAGCTTCCTTCAGAGATGAATAGAGATCGGAAAGAAAATTCCCTTCACGAGTGCCATTGCTACACTGACAACTCAAGAACACCTCATATCTTTTACCTACACAACCTTTAAATTACACAAACACATGAAAGGATCTATACAGGTTAATATTTGTTGTGAATGACCATAAAAGTTGTAAATATATTCAAGAATCAAAAGATAATTCATTGGCCCTCATACCCTTAAGAATAATGCAGATCATATTTTTGTTTTTTCCCCTTTTTCTTTATAATTATTTAACTTTTTAAAAATGGGAAAGCTTTTCAATTTAATCACAAAATCTAACTTTGCAGTTGAAGGTAGCGGGAAAGCTTGGATTTTTGCTTCAAAATCGGTTTTGATCATAGGAATAAGAATATATAAAAGAAAATATAAGACTTGAGGGACTTTTAATACTATGAATTATTCCATAAATACTAGAAATTCCAAATAAAGAAGGACGTCATTTCTTGGTGGGAAGTAATTTGTTTTGTGTTGATAAAAAAAGTCCCATTTCTTTAATACACCTCTTTTATTTTTTGAATACTACCCTAATCCTAAATATAAGTCACTTGTAACACGTTATTATATACCAAGAAATGCATGAAATTAATAAAGTTTTTTAATTTTATCCTTACTAAAGTTTCCCTTTTCCCTTATGTTTACAAATCATTTTAATATATCCCGCTGCTTTCTTTTTTCCTTTCCACTGAGAATTAAATAAGAATAAAATTAGAAAACAAACATTAAACATGTTATAAGTGACTTATATTTAGAATCAAAACTTATATCTACAAGTGACTCATATTTTGATCCAGAGTGGTATGTAATATAAAACATATATCTTCCCATTGAAAGTGAAAGAATTTGCGGCAGAAAAAAGGATCAGAAAAATGACAAGATTAAGGCGTACCCTGCTGGCTTAATAGATTATTCACCAGAACTCTGGAATCGTCTGTGGGTATGGTTTCTTTCTGAAGAAGAAGAGGAGGAGGAGGAAGAAGAATGAAGAAGACTCCGTTAAACTGCCGCGACCAGCATCATGACTAGTCAAATCAAAAACGAAAAAAGGTGTAGGGGGAGAAGAAAGTTACCTGCGAATTGCTGGGTTGGCGAAACAGAGATGACAAATCTAGTTTATGACAAAGATCGGTGAAGAGAGAGGAACATTTATGAGGCTTTCGCTGCAGAAGAAAGAGTGAAACGAAACGAAACAAAGGGTTACTGAATGATTAACAAGCATTAAGATATCAAACAAAAATTAAAGTTAATAATCGAATTCCAAATAATAATACTAATAATTAAAGTTAATTACTGAATCATGAGTCTTATGGCAGAGCAGACGAGAGCAACAACCCTTCTGGGAGCCTACGCTGAGGTCGTCTCTTCTTCTCCTCATGCTTCTCTCAATCAAGGGATTCTGTGATAGACACATCCGGCCTTTAAGGTAACTATTACAAAAATAAATTAACGTCTAAGTGGGGCAATGCTAATTGTTAGCACCTGTTTATGTGACACACGCATATAGAGTCAACTACCCAAAATACGGTCCCCGTTATAAATTACTTACAACTTATTCTTATATACTACTCCTTCGATTTTAAATATATAACACTTTTTATAGTGTAATCTACACTATAAAAAGAATCTTATATTTAAGACCAGACGAATAATATTAAGAGATAGCATTTAACATGTTTTAAATTGATAAAATTATTTAAATTTGTCCTTATTAAATATTGTTTTCTTTCTCTTTATCTATAGATCATTCTTAGCATTGTCTCCTATGTTTTTCTCTTTCCAACAAAATTAAATATAGGTAATATTGGAAAATGGTCATTAATAACCTCTACATGTTTGAGACCAAACTTTTCTCCTAGTAATATAAGTGACTTATAATAGGAATCTGACTTACACCTTGATATCTATGAATTAAGTCTAAATTAGAGCCGAATAACATGCAAACGCATGCCCCTAAATGCAAAAAGAAAAGAAAATCACTCATGAGATTCCCCAGTGTAACCAATGTGATGATTATCAAACCCTTAAAGAAAGAGTCAATGTGATGAGTATAAACTTAAAGAGACAACCCAATCCCAAAAGACATAAACCACACAATATTTATAGGATTTTTCAATGGGAGACTTATAACATATATCAAAAGAATATTTAAAAAAGAAAAGATCAATCACTTTATCAAATTTAATTTTCGAATCGCTGAAGCATTTTGTTTCTGAAAAGTTGAAACATGAGAAAGTGGAGATAAGTTATTTAATTGTTTGAAAGTAAGTTTTTTTCTTTTGTGTGGTTATTTTAGTTTGAATCTCTTCCATTCAATCTCCTTCCCAGTTTTGTCGTTTTGTGCGGGAAGACATCGGTCGACATTATTGGCTTGAATCTTGCGTCGGCAAGGGCTTCAAAAATATTGGAGTTGGAACGATCAATGGTTTCTTTCAGAAGAAGAAGAAGAAGAATCCGTTGGAAGCGGAGCAACCAGCATCACCGCATCAATCAAATTAAACCAAACAAGAAATGAGCAGTTATATGGGGCGGAAAGTTACCTGTCAATTGCTGGGTTGGCGATCAAAGAGAGACGGAGAATCTGGTTTATGAAAACTATCAGAGAGAGAGAGATTTATGAAGTTTCTGCTGCCTCTGCAGGAAAGTCAGTGGAGAAAAAGTGAAATGAAACAATGAAGAAATGAGGTGGCTACATTAAGCGCCGTCGACTTGACTCCTTTAAACGAATTATTAACATGCATTAAGATTATGAGTCTCTTCCATTATTGATCAATGATGCAATTGTAAAGAACATAGCTGAGGAGGGGATTCTGGTGAAATTCATGCCCCGTTTCACGGCGACAGGAACCTCTCCTCTCCTGTATGGTCCTCTTATCATCCTCTTCTCCAATCCTCACCCTTCATTTCATTTTAAGGTCATGAAACACTCAATAAAATCTCACTGCCTTTTGTCCCCTTTAAAAATAGCCCCTTTTCGAAAACTCTACGTACCCATGTGAGTGACACAACTTGCCTTGAGTTTTATTTAATATGTGAGAATAATTTTCATTCTAACATGAAACAGTAAAATGTTTTATTTATATGTGTAAATCTCAACATTTTATTGAGTGCTTCGTGACCGTAAGATGAAATGGAGGGTGAGGATTAGAGAAGAGGATGATAAGAGGACTGTAAGGGAGAGGGGAGGTTCCACGCCGCGTTTCACCCACCAAAAATGATTGCCAGCTACATGAAGTACTGTTTGAAGCATTAGGCTCTTCTTTTCTTTCTATGCCTTTTAGTCACGTTGAATAATTAAATAATCGAGGGCCCAAACACAAGCCTGTAATACTTTGCATCAGTCTAGAAGGGTTCTTGATCAAAGAATCCAGTGTGGAAGGTGCATTTTCTTTCATTAGGCGCCGACAATTGACTCCACTCCATTAAAAGAATCAACAGTCAATCAACAAACTATAAGTTAATAATTACGAAAATAAATTAAGATAAAGAATCAAGTGGGGCACTGCTGGTTGGCAGAACCTGCTATTATATACTCCCTCCATTCCCTATTATAAGATTCAATTTTTTTAATAGGTTTGTTTCTTTTTATAATATCTCTTTTAATTTTATCTAAACATTTAATATACTATTACCTATTTTACCCATGATTTAATGTATTTAATACATTCTTTTTATTCATTTATCTTATTATTACTCTCTCACATGTACCTATTTATATATAAAGGTATATTTGAAAAAAATTATATTTATTATATATTAATTACTTTTAATTAGTTTAATTGTTTTTTTAAACCGCATAATTTAATTAAAAGAATCTTATAATAGGTAACGGAGTAGTACAATGAACCTCGCTCAAGTATGATATCTGAGTGCCGTGTGTCGCCATGCCATTTGATGATAGGCATGTTGTTGTAAATAAAGGAACCAATCAAATTGAAGATGAGGTTGCGCATTAAGGGGGCGCTTCTGGCAGTTTGCTTTTTGGGAATATTAATATGATGAGAGTGGGAAATGGGTTGAAACAGATCAATATATTAAGATTTGTTTTGGTTGTTTCTTAGTCCTGCCTTTATATATGTAAAGCTTCCTGTCACAGAGCATTGTTTTGCCCATGCGTACATTGTTTGGTTCCCTCTCCTTGAAAGGTCTACAATAGTGTGCGTGTCTGTTAAACAGGCATGCGCCCAGAAAAAAATACTCGTAGTTGGTTTCATGAAAGTCTATATCAGGGAACGCTGTATGTGATATTCACGGAAGGTATATATTAAATAGGCTTGCATAAAAAATAATGTACAACCTGATTAAGTGATTTGAGTGTTCTAAAAATATTAGTTAAATGAGTTAATATAATATGTTTTTTTTTAAATATTATAAATATCTTTTTTAATTCTCTCATTTTCTGTCTTACATGATTATTATTATTATTATTATTGGAAGAATATTAATAAAGTTAATTTGAAAAAAATTAATAAATATATAAAATAAGTCTTATAAGAAAAACAAATATTAGCTTCCTAATTAAATCTTACATTAAGAATTAATGCACTATTCTTCCGATCTAAATATAAAACATTTATACACAGTATAAAAGGATATTATATCTAGGACCGGAGGAGCATTTATTTTTACCTAACTAAACCCATATCATGAAACGCACCCGGTGACCTTCGCGGAAGGCGCTCGGGTGTGATTCAGGAAATTGCGTCGACTAAATTAACAACGTAGTATAAAAACATGGACATTTTCTCAAATTTCTTCACAGAGAAGGGGCTTTTTTTTAATGCATATCAATAAAAAGGGGCATTTTAGCAGACAGGTGGATTTGGAAAGGAGAGAGTAGTGGTTTATACTCGGTGAGAAGTGGTTACAAATTACTGCGATGAGAGAAACTCGGTGTGAAGGACAAGATTTGGGATATCATTTGGAAATAGAAAGGACCAGAGAAAATTCGTCTCTTTTTCTGGTTGGTGGCCCAGGATCGTTTACACGCCGGTGACCTGAGGAGTAGGCGCTGGGGGCCGAGTGGTCTGTGTGATGTCTGTCGTGAAAAGGAAACAACTCGACATGTCCTGAGAAATTGCAGTTTTGCTAAGGAGGTCTAGTTTTGTTTAGGATTCACAGATCAAGATTTTAATTTTTCCCTTTCCAACCAGATCTCAGATGAAAGGAAAATTATTCAGGTTTGGCTTCAAGGAAATCTAAATGATGTGAAACTAGCAAGACGCTTACCTCGAGGCTTGATTTTTGGCGTGACTTGCTGGGTTTTGTGGAAACAGAGAAACGCTAGATTGTTTCGTTCTGACCTCTCTGATGCTAGATTTGTGCTGAGAGAATTCAGTGTTTTGCTGTAGAAATTAACCAAGTTCAGCAGAGGAAGGTTTTAAATGATTGCAAGAATGAAAAATCACAGAATGTAGTTGTGCACCGTTGGCAAAAGCCGGCGAAAGGGTGGGTGAAGATCAACTCTAATGGTGTTTGTAGAGGAAATCCTGGTCCTTCTGGCTGTGGAGGGATTTTCCGAGATGACATGGGCAGATGGATCTATGGCTTTGCAGAGCAAGTTGGCTCGTGTGGTGTTTTTGAAGTGGAGGCGTGGGGAGTTAAACGGAGTCTTGAAATAGCTTGGGAGATGGGAGTGAAACAAGTGGAATTTGAGATTGATTCTGAGGATTTGGCAAGGAAAATAAAAGGGAAAGATAACGAGAACGGCTTTTCTGCTCTGCTTGGATTGAGTGAAAATGGGAGAGGAAGGAAAAGTGGGATAGAAAATGGGAGAGGAATGGACTTTTCCCTTGCTTGAATGAAAAAGAAAATAGGAGAGAAAAGAAAAGTGGGGAGAAAAATATGGTGGGTCCCATACTCCATTTTTCTCTCAAAATTTCTCTCCACAAGTGGAGAGATTTTCACCGCTTCGGTTCATTTCCACATTGCCCCTCCCGCCAAGCTCGCATCGTTCGTCTTCTCTCCCGCGCCAAAAAGCTCTCACCGTCGCTGCTCCAGTAATCACATTCATCCAGTCGGCTGCATCTTCCCCCCCCCCCCACTTTTTTTTTAAAACTCTCAGGGGTAATTTCTCATGTTATTATGATCTTTAATTTTATTTGATTTTTATCATTTTATTAAAATATTACATAATGTATAAGTTATTTATTTCCTTTTATTTTAATTAAGTTCAAAAATTATTTCCTTTTTATTTTTACATAGAAAAATAATTTTTTGCTAAATTATTTAGTTTCTTGCCAATTAATTATAATAAGGGCATTTTAGTCATTCTGATATTTATACATTTTCTTTCCTTCCTGTTTTCTCTCACTCATCCAAGCAGAAAGAGTGATAATATTTTCCTTTCAGTTTTCTCTTCTCTTCATTTTCTTTCCTCTCATTTTCTTTCCTCCCAACTTTTCTTCTCATCCA